ATAAAACCCTAAAAATGTTACTTTCCTAAAAAAAGTCAGTAAAAAATAATAAATACACCATTTAAAAACAAAAAAAAAAAAAACCCTTTTTTTCATAGGCAAACTAAATGATTCAATTCTATAAAGAAAAGGATCATTGCTTTGATCCCTTGACTAATGGATGAGAAAACCTTTTGAGGGTCAAAATTGAGCCATTAATGTAGTTAAATATGCCTTATTAATTAGTCATATATAGTTAAGAAATGTTTTAACTAATGGTGATATATGGGAAAAGAGAAAATCACAATGTTCTAGTATTAAAAATATCAAAATATTTAATAATAGCCACTTGATGAATTTGATAAAGTTAAGACCCACGTTATATCTCACACATTTAATAATTGAGAATAAACATCTTAATATTTTTAATATTAAAATATCTTGATTTCCTCTTTTCTCGTGATATATATAAACTCATAATATTTTATGAGATCTTATGTTAACTATTTCAATGAGTGCCTTATTTTACTATTTAAATTGCATTAAATTATAAAATAAAAATAATTGAGGGGTACCTTTCTTCTGATGGTCATTATTGTGCAATTTAAAATAATTTGAATTGCATAATAATTTTTCGTATCTCAATTTCATTAACACATTTTTCTAATAGTACTAAAATTATGTTGACACTCTTTTTAATTTGGACAATTAGAACTATTTTGACATCTCTCATAACAAAAAGGGACTATTTTGACATTTGACTTAGTCTTTTTAATGTTAATAACATGATTTTTTTTTATTAATAATTATGCTTCAAAGTCATAAAATTCATGATTGAAAAATCAACTATATCAAGGGCCATCTAGTTTTGATTCAAGCGATTTCAATTAATGTTTGCTTGCACAATTAGGGGTGGGTAAAAACCGGTTTCGGTTAAAATTGAAATCGGTTTTAAAATAATCAAAAAAAAATTTTCAATTTTGAAAACCGAAATTGAATCGAAATTTTCACAAACCAATCGGTTTAATTATCAATAAAATCAGTTCGGTTTTTATTTTTGGTAAATAAATATTAATCAATTATTTTTCTAATAATAGATTATATTTTATCATATATTTTATCATATTTTATCACATATTTTATCATATTTTGTCATATTTATTTTTTTTAGGAGGTTTATTTTTTGTTTTTGATTTTTAAAAAGTTCAACCAAAACCAAACCAAAACTTATTTGATTAATATCAAAACCAAAAAAATAAAAAATAAAAATTATTAAAACCAAACCAAATTCATTTTTTAGTTTGATTTTCAAATAACCTGTCAGTTTGGTTTCAAATGCCCAGCCCTATGCACAATCATAAGTTAATAATAAGACTAATTAGCTAGCTTTATAACAAGTTTCAAAAACTATTCCCCCCTTATTATCAAAAGTGCACAACTAGTGCTAGTAATCATACCACACACAAAGTTGAACCCAACCTTTTTAACCCCATCTCCCAAAAAATTAAAATTAAATAATATAAAGTTAATCACAACTTCGAAGGTCCAAAATCCAGATTAATCCCGTCTTTTCCAAGGCATAATAATTATTCAAAATTGTTGGTGGGACCTATCTCTGCTTCTTCTTGTTTTTGCTTTATTATTTTTTGGTCCTTCTATATAGCATACATAATTTTCACTTATAAACCATTGCTTCTTTGAAAAATCATTCCCTCTCTCTATTTTTTTCTCCAAACATGAAACGAATGGATCTGTTCTGTGCTTCTCCGGCCTCCACAGCCATATGTTCCAGCATCGACCACCGCTCCATGGTCCGCCACGGCCACACCCGACGTCCCATCAGCCGCCAGCCATACATACCTTGTTCTTCTTCGGAGTTGCCTATAATTCCCAAAGTTTATAACCACCTTGAAAAGGGCAGAAATAATTCAGCTAAGCAGAGTGATTTACGTCCAAAAAGCTCCGCTGATGATCTCAGGAGCCCTCATGGTTCTTCTAGATATCTCTTGAGTGACAGACCTTATATTAATTGGTTATCGGAGACCACGTCCGACCATAGCTTGGCATTGGTTCCTGCTCAACCCGTAGTGAAGCCTAGGCCTAGACATGCAACAAGCTCAAACGATTCACCAGCTTTGAAGTCTTCTTCTTCTTCTGCTAGATCCCGCGACCAGGTAGTTAACACGAT